AAAGATTGGCCCAGAGCTAACATCTGTGGCCAGTCTTCCTCTATCTCGTATGTGGGCTGCCACCACATGGCCACTGAGCCATGGTGTAGGTCCGCACCCAGGAACTGATCCCGGGCCACCAAAGTGAAGCACGCCGAACTTAATCACTGGGCCACCAGGACTGGCAGGGCCCGGCCTTTAGAACCCCTCCTGTTTCTTCCTTCAAGCCCAGGCTCACACACAAGCCTCTATACTGCTGAGCTCTGAGCAACCCTCCCACCGGGCTCTCTACCAGCTGTGCACCCGCAGCACCCAATCCGGCCAGTTTCCAGAGCACGTTTCTCTGCTCAGGCACCAGTGCTTTTCCTGGTGACACTAGTGACCCCACTCGACTCTAAGCTCCAGATCCAAAGCCCAGCCCCGCTCTGTGCACCATGGGAATCCCAGTACTGGAGAGTGTAAGCAGGCATTCCTGGGAGTCCCTCTCAAACCACCCCCATTCTCTGGTGAGTTTTCTGTTACTAGACCTGCCCACGATGGTCTGGTCCAGCAGTTACGCACACTCACTGAGCACCTCTGCTCAGCCCTGTGCTGGGTGGTGCTGGGGATACAGCAGGGATGGAGACAGCCCTGGCCCTGCCCTCCCAGGACTCACAGTTCATCCCCGGACAGTAGCAACCTAGAGTGACCAGAGCTGGGACAGGGGAGCCCAGAGGTGCCCTCTGACCCTCCCTTGTGTGGGATATCTGGGAGGGCTTCCTGGAGGAGGGGAAACCTGAGCTGAGACCATGGAAGGAAGAGTAGGGGTGAAGGTAGCAGGGGAGAAGATGATCCCGGAGAAAGGAAGACCCTTTGCAGAGGCCAACAGATGGGCTAGCATGGCCTGGTTTTGGAAATGCAGAGCTGAACCTGGCCAGAGCCTGTGGTTTGGGGGATGGGTCCTGGTTGAGAGGTGAGGTCAGGCTGTCACCATTGAGAAAACCATGCCTGGGCTCTGTCCACACAGAGTCTCAGACCACAGTGGGAGTTTGGACTTGATCTCTTCAGGGCCCCTGGGAAGGCCTTTCAAGAGACCCCTCAGGCTGCTGTATGGAGGGTGGATTAGAGGGCTGGATGGGAGGCCCAGGAGGAGGCTGGGCAGAGCTGAGGGGAGGCAAACGAAGGGGGTTGATTTTAGGGACTTTTAGGCAGAGCAGGCAGGCGCCAGCGACTACCTGGAATGAGGAGCAGGAGGAGGAGGTGCTTCCTCGGTTTCTGGCAGGTCCTCTCTGGCACTTTCCACCCCTTCTGCACTCTCCTCTGCCCCTTCAGCCTGGATACCCGCCCTGCCTCCCCTCTAGCTGCCTCCTTGCCTGTCCACCTGTGATACCTCCATCCTCCTCTTTTCCTTATAAGACCTCCCCATTCCTCATAGGCACCTACCCCTGTTCTCCATTAGCCTCTCAAGGATTGGGGGCCTCTCTTCTGGCTCAATAAAGACTTCCTGGTTGACAGACTCACATGGCAAGTGGTGTTTGGGGAAGAAGGGGTTCAGAGGCCGTTCCTGGGGTCTCCCCATTAGCACAGTGGATCAGAGCACTGCCGATCTCACTAATTTGGGGGTACCACAACCCACTCCTGAGGGAACAGACCCCCAGGCCTGCCCCGGTCTGCCTGCCTTCGTGGGTGCTTGTGTTGTGCCAGCGGTCCTGGGCCCTCCTGGCGCCGGGTGCTGAGCCGGGGAGCTCACGCCCAGGCCTCCCCCTCTTGCCCCCCCCCCTTATTACTCTGTGGACTGCGTCCCCCTCATGACCCAAGGCCTGGTATCCCCCCAGCACCAGCACAAGCCCTTATGCCCTGGTTGGTGTTGGGATTGGGCAGTTCCTTGGCCAGCCTGCTGGTGGAGGGCCATCTTTCCTGTCCCCTACAGAAGTCAAAGCTGCCTTCTCTCTCTAGTAGGGGTGGAGGGGCCGTGCTGCCCTCGTGTGGCCAGAATGGGTCCCAGGGGTTGGCAGCATATCTTTCCCACCTCTGCCTTTCCAAGTCCCCAAAGAGAAAGGGCCATGGTCTGCCCACCCTGCCCAGCATGGGACTTCCAGAAGTTGGACATGTCTTTTTCCTTGGACCAAGTCCCCAGGCTTTCCAAGGACCAGGCCCCAGTGTCCCCGCAGAAAGAGACCTTCTGCTGGGTGAGGGAAGTCTCCTGTTCTGCCTGGAGCTTCAGGAAGTCAGGGCTGGGTCTCCCCTCACACGGGCAGATAATGGGGCTGAGGCTCTAAGGGGGGTGGGACTGACACCTCCTGGGAGGCAGCTGGGCAAAGAGGACAGGCCCACTCTCCGCCTCCTCGCAGCCACCAACCTGTGCTTTGCGGAGCGGAACGTGTACACGTCGGAGGTGCTGGCCGTGGTGATGCAGCAGCTGATGGAGCAGAGTCCCCTGCCCATGCTGCTCATGAGGACCGTCATCCAGTCCCTGACCATGTACCCCCGCCTGGGGGGCTTCGTCATGAACATCCTGTCCCGTCTCATCATGAAGCAGGTAACCCGCCCCGACCACCCCACACCCCCAGGCAGTGGACTGCAGCGGGACACACTGAAGACAGATTTGAGGCAGAACCCCAGGCCTTTCTAGCCTGCTTGCCACCCATCCCCCCGGATGAGGAGAGCAGGCTGTACCGAGACCAGCCAGCGCCTTTGCCCAGCCCTCCGCCGAGACAATACGCTCCAGGGGTCACTATGAGGGCGGTTGGGTGGTAGGAGCGGGCGGTAGACTTCAGGGGCTGTGCATTCCAGGAAAGGCGTGGCTCACCCTCGCCCCCACCACGTGCAATCAGCCGGAGTGCATCTTAGAGCTGAAAGATGGTTCTGTTTTTCAAGAGAAGCTAGAAATGAGTTTTTAGAAACACTGTGATGAAACAAAAACCCCATCCACAAGCCCTCAGACTGGATTCAGCCCGCAGGTTGCCACTGGGCAATATCTGGCTTAGAGGTTAAATGCAGATTCAGACAGACCTGGGTTCAAGTCTCCCTTCTGCCCCTTGGTACCCATGTGACGCGGGACGAGTCCCTGTGCCTCCCTGGGCCATGTCTGTTTAGCAGGGCTAACGTCGCCCTCTCAAGGCTGCTGTGAGAATGACATGAGCCGGTGCTTGCAAAGCCCTTAGCCTCGGGAGCTCCGCGAGAAAGGGCCACTCTCAGTTCTCTTCTCCCCTTTTCCCAAGTTGCCCTCAGGTCCCAGCTGCTTGGGATGAGGAAGAGCAAGTCAGCAAGTCCTCTGGAGGGAAGAGCCCAGAGGAATCTGTTGGATGATAGGGATTAGGGCCCCATGTTGGCAAAGTCTTTCTCCCAGTTTCTGGGGTGCTGCCCGCGTGCCCCCTCACGACTGCTCCCTCCCTGCCCCGTCCAGGTGTGGAAGTACCCCAAGGTGTGGGAGGGCTTCATCAAGTGCTGCCAGCGCACCAAGCCCCAGAGCTTCCAGGTCATCCTGCAGCTGCCGCCCCAGCAGCTGGGTGCTGTCTTTGACAAGTGCCCAGAGCTCCGGGAGCCCCTGCTGGCTCACGTCCGCTCCTTCACCCCCCACCAGGTACCCCCCGAGTGTGCGGTGGGTGGCCCCATGGCTCCAGCCCCAGGGGACTGGGTGGGGGTGGGCAGAGGGGAGCCCTGCACTGCCACAGAAGGTCATGGGCTCTGGAGGGTCAGGGACGAGGGGTCTGAGGTATCCACCAGGGCTCTCTGGGCCAGAGCTCTCCCTAGCAGCCCCATCCTGCTCTTCCCCTAGCAAGCACACATCCCCAACTCCATCATGACCATCCTGGAGGCCAGCGGCAAGCAGGAGCCGGAGGCCAAGGAAGCACCTGCCGGGCCCCTAGAAGAGGTGAGGGCCTGCAGCACCCCACCCCCCACAAGCCAGCAAGATTGCTGGGCCTCCCCACCCGAGCCCCTCTGTCTGCCTGAAGGCTGGGTGAGGGAGAGACACTTGCCCCTTACTCCCTGTGCCCACCCTGCTGTCTGCCTCAGGGTGGTTTCTCTCTCTTCTTTCCCACCGTGCTCTGAGAGCAGCCTGGGTTCTAGCCCCCACCCACCTCTGAGCTTCCGTGTACCCCTCCCCACCCCCAGGACGACCTGGAGCCCCTGGCCCTGGCCCCAGCCCCGGCCCCCCGGCCCCCTCAGGACCTCATCGGCCTGCGGCTGGCCCAGGAGAAGGCCTTGAAGCGGCAGCTGGAGGAGGAACAGAAGCTGAAGCCTGGGGGAGCCCCCTCCTCGTCCTCTTCCTCAGCCCGGCCAGGCCCCCCCCCGCCAGAGGAAGCCATAGATTTCCGGGAGGAGGGGCCTGAGTGTGAGACCCCGGCCATCTTCATCAGCATGGATGACGACTCGGGGCTGACCGAGGCCGCACTGCTGGACTCTAGTCTCGAGGGGCCCCTACCTAAGGTAGGGATGACTACCTCCGAGCAGCAAAGGAAGAAAATATTCAGGGCCCCGGGGTGAAGTGTGTACGCCGAGTGCCCAAGGCGTTGGGGGCCGGGGAAGGTACGCCCGAAGGAAAGCTTGGAGATGGGACCGCGCTCTCTTTGACCGGCTCCCCCTTCTCCTGTCACCAGGAGGCGGCAGCGAGCGGGTTGACCTCAAAGGAGGAGCGGAGCCCCCAGACCCTCACTCCTGCGGGAGAAGACACCGTGAAGACCCCCAGCCCCGCTGCCGCGGAGGAAGCCGGGGAAGCCGAGACCAAGGGGAACAGCTGACGGGGCTTGGTGGGGAAGGGGCGTGGGGCCGGGAGCTGGAGAAGGGCGGGGCGGGGCTTGACCAGCGGTGCTTTGCCTTTAAAAAAAATTAAAACAAAGATCGCGGGTCTGGGCGTGGGTGCAGTCTCTCGTCTCGGCTCCGCGTCGGCCGCGGGACTGCGCGCGACCCAGTGCGCGCGCCCAGGGGCCCGCGGGACGACTGGAAGCCGCTCGGCGTGGGGCGTGGGGCTGCGCCTGCGCGGAAACCAGCGCCTCGGCCCCGACGCCCCCGCCCCCCGTAACGGCCTGCCCCCTCCCTCAGAAACGGGCGGGGCTGGCGTAGCCGCTGCCCGGCGAGTGCAGGCGGGCGACTCGTCTGGCCTGCCTGTCTGCAAGCCTTCCTCCTAAAAGTCTGCGACCCCTTTTGAGCTATGGGGGACCCCCCGCCCCCCTCAGAGCCCCCTGCCCAGCAGCCCTCGAGCAGGAGGAGTTCCCAGGTCTCCGAGCGGCGCAGTCGGGAACACGTTCAGCCCCTGCCCGCTGACCCCCACGAGGTGCAGGAGACACCGCGGGACTCCCAGATCCTGTGGAGCAATCAGGAGATTTTGGGGAGCCAGACCAGCCTCCGGGGCAGGTCACAACGCGTCAGCCTGACCCAGTATGAGAACTCGGGCATGTCCCAGGATGAGGAAGCTCGTTTGGGTGGCGTGGAGTACCCGTCTCTGAATATGGGCTTTCCCTCGGAGTTCCAGCCCCAACCTTATCTGGATGAAGGTGGGATCCAAGCTACCCGCAACGCCAGCCTAATGCTGCAACAGATACAGCAGGGCCAAGGCAACCTCTTCCAGCAACTGGAGTCTGCCTACCAGGAGCCCCGGCTCGGCCTCTTGGGCCAGTTCAACATGTACCAGAGAGAAGACCTGCAGTTCGGCGCGGGTGCCCAGCATGGTCCCTACATAAGGGACGACCCTGCCCTCCAGTTCTCGCCCTCTGAGCTGGGCTTCATGCCCTTCAATATGGAGTTGCCGGAGCCCGAGCCTCGGGAGCTGGCCGTGCAGAATGCCAAGGCCTACCTGCTGCAGACCAGCGTCAACTGCGACCTCAGCCTGTGAGAGGGGGCCCGGGAGTGGGGAGGGGGTGGGACCCAGGCAGGGAGAGGCCTCCACCAAGGCCCTGTCTCGGGCTCTGGGGTCTCGTCAGTCACGCGGGGGATCGCCCCTCATGGAGAACGAGTGACCACTCTGGGGGCATCTAACTGAGACTGAAAATCAGGGAATAAAATACTAACAATAGCATTTATGTACCAGACATTGTTCCAGCACTTCACACGTTAACATCTAGTTCTCACAGCTGAGATTAGCAGGTCTACTGCCCCTGGTTTACAGAGGAGGAAACCGAGACAGAAAAATTAGGTCTGGTATCCAAGATAACACAGCTAGGATCTGGCACAAGTGGTTTGGCGTCTGAGACCCTGTTATCCGCTGAAATTTTGTGCCTGAGGAAGGCACTTGCCAAGGCCACTTAGCTGCAGTCATAATACACCTCTTGGCTCCCATTACGTCCTCGTGAAGCTCACATGCTAGTGGGAGAATGGACAATAAACATAAGCGATAAAGTGATGATAAGAGCTAAGATTAAAAAAATAAGGCAAGGTAAGGGGGATAGGGAGGGCATGTTAAATAGCATGAGGTCAGGGAAGGCCTCTCGGAGGAGGTGACGTTTGATCAGGGAACTGAAGGAGATGAGGATGTTCTGGAGGAAGTGGTCCACATAGAGGACACAGCAAGTTTAAAGGCTTTAAGGCTAGCTGTGTTTGAGGAACAGCAAAGAGGCTGGTTTGACTGGAACTAAGGGAAGAAGAGGGGGAGGAGATGAGGTTGGAGAAGTAACAGATCTTGCCAAAGCACAAAGCTGACCACATCCCTCTCATGCTGAGAGCCTGCCATGGCTCCCCAGTGCCCTCAGGAGAAGGTTCATGCTCCTCACCACAGCCTTCAAGGCCCTATATAATTCAGCCCCTGCCCACTCTCCAAACTTCATCTCTAGTCAGCTCCTACCTCAGATCCTAGAGTCTAGTCCAAATTAACCTCTAGCTCTTACCAACAGTTCCCAGCCCTCAGGAACTTCAAAGTCCCTTATTGAAAAGCCCTGGCCAAAGTATGACCTCTCCTTACCCTTCCCAATTCAGTGACGACCCTCCACCACACCCAAGACTGCCATCAAAGGGTCTCCACCCCACAGAGAGTTAGACATACATGCTTTGAAATGGGACCAACTTGGTTTCAAATCTCGGCTGTGCTACCACTGGGTGACCTCATGACTCAACTTTTCTAAGCCTCAGTTTCCTCATCTGGAGAGTGGGGATCATAATTGTTTCTCATATGTGTGATTGTGGTGAGGATTCAACATTGCTCTCAAGTGCCCAGCACAGTGCCTGACATAGGTGAATGGAAGCCATTACCATACTGTTATCACTCCAGCCTCCTCTCCTCCCACAACCCCTCTCCCTCACTCCACCAGCCACACTGACCTCCTCAATGTTCCTCCTGCCTGCCAGGCACACGCTCAGCTAAAGGCTTTTGCACATCACTCCCAATCATATCATCTGCAAACCATGGCAGTTTTCATCTTCCTTCCCAATCTTTTGACCTTTCATTTCTTTTTCATGTCATATTGCATTGGCTGGGACCTCCAGTGCAGTATTAAATAGAAATTAAGAAAGCGGGTAACCTCGTTCCCAATCTCATCGAGGAAAATATTCAGTCTTTCTCCATTATGTTTGGCGTGCGCTGTAGGTTGCTTGTGGCTACCCTTTATAAGATTATAAAAAATTACCTTCTATTCCTAGTTGGCTAGGTTTTTAAAAATCATGAATGGGCATTGAATGTTATCAAACTATTTCTCTGCACCTATTTAGGTGATCCTACATATCTCTTTTAACATATTAACATAATGAATTATATTTTTTCTATTTTCCTAATATCAGTCCAGTCTTGCATTCCTCTTATTAGCCCATTTAATCACGATGTGTCACCCTTTTGAGAGATTGCTGGATGCCCTCTGCTAATATTTTGCTCAGGATTTCAACATCTGTACTTCTAAATGAGATCGGCATGGAATTTTCCTTTCTCTTAATTTCCTTGAGTTTTGGTATCTAGATTATATTAGACTCACAAAATGTCTCAGGGCCTGTGCACCTCCTGTTCCCTCTGACTGAAACACTGTTCCCCCCAATATCTAAATGGTTTGCCTGCTCATTTCATTCAGATCTCAGCTTAAATGTCACCTTGGTGAGGCCTTTCCCTGCCCCCCCCCCTTTAAAATTGCAAACCATCTCCAATGCCTGGCATTCCCAGTCCCCATTCTCTGCTTTATTTGTCTCCATAGAAATTACGAGTTCCTGGGGGCCGGCCTGTTGGCGCAGAGGTTAAGTGCGCTCGCTCCGCTTCAGTGGCCCGAGGGTTCGCAGGTTCGGATGCCGGGCACACACCGACGCACTGCTTGTCAAGCCATGCTGTGGCGGTGTCCCACATAAAGTAGAGGAAGATGGGCACAGATGTTAGCCCAGGGCCAGTCTTCCTCAGCAAAAAGAGGAGGATTGGCATCAGATGTTACTGCAGGGCTGATCTTCCTCACAAAAAAAAAAAAAAAAAGGAAAGAAATTACCACTTCCTGACACTATATATTTTGCGTATTTAGTTAAAGTCTGTCTCTATCACCAGAATTTCAGCTCCACTAGGGCAGGGACCTTTTCTCTTCTCTACTGTGTCCTCAGCACCAGGCACGGGGCCAGGCACACAGCAGCGAGCTCGGTGACTGATATCCCCCACCCCCCACTCCCTTCCGGGAAGGCAGGTATGAACACCTTGTGAACCTGCTGACCAAGATCCTGAACCAGCGGCCCGAGGACCCCTTGTCCATCCTGGAGTCGCTGAACCGCACCACCCAGTGGGAGTGGTTCCACCCCAAGCTGGACACGCTGCGGCACGAGCCGGAGATGCAGCCCACCTATGAGATGGCCGAGAGGCAGAAGGCGCTGTTCACCCGGAGTGGCCTCGGCGGCGGCGAGGGCGAACAGGACATGGAGGAGGAGGTGGTGAGTGAGCCGGCGGGGAGGGGTGCGTGGGGTGAGCGGTGGCCCAGGCTTAGGCACAGCCTGGGCTGAGGCTGAAGGAGAGGAAGTGCACAGCGCAACACAGAAACACAAAGGATTTCAGTCTAATGTGTGTGCCCTGCGGAGGGGGCCGGGACCAGGTCACAGAGGGCCTTGAACGCCAGGCTAAGGGGCTAGGGCTTTCTCCTGAGGCCAGTGGGCCGCCATGGAAGGATTTGAAGCAGAGGAAAGCTAGCCAGCTCTGCTTTTTAGAAAGCTGATTCCAGCTGCCACGTGGAGGTGGAGGCTGGTCTTTCCTACCAGCCCTTACTCCTCCCTCCTGAAAATAACTGCTATGCAAACGTTTCCTGTGCAACTCACTGCCTCCTGAAGTCTCAATACTGAATTGCCTCCTAGCTCCCAGACTCAGTTTCCCCTTTTGTAAGTTGAGACCGGCTAAGAACTCTTCCACTCATGACTTATTAATAATCTACGATGCTCAGAATATTTAATTCCACGGTTCTGTTTCCAGAATTGGACGACTGCTTAAAATTCGGGTGATGTTCACTGGTTCAAGGAACATTTGTGGAGAAATCTCTGTTTAAGATCATTCTGACACCTCCTAGGCCCCCTGCTAAGAGTTTTAGGAACACTGTCTGCTTTCCTCCCTGAAACAACCCTGCAAGACAAGTGCTGTTTATTATTCTTATCTGTAGAGGAAGGGCTCAGACTCAGAGGGGCAGGCAGCTAGGAAGTGCCGAGACAGGACTAGAAGGCAGGCCCGTGACCTCCAGAGCCGGTGCTGTAACCTCTGCCCCGTCTGCAGATGCTGCTGGCCTGTGCTCGCTTCTATGCTTCTGAGGTTGTAGGATTCGGATGACAGTGGGGTGGGATGGTGAGAGAACGGCGGGAACGACAGTCTGACAAAGAAATGAGCCCGCAGGTGGGAATCCAAGTCTTAGGCACGAAGGAGTTTTACCAGAGAATATGGTTTTAAATTTCAGATCAACGGCCTCTCCTTGGGAGGCCCCACCCGCTTAGAACTCCACCCTGCCTCTCCAGCACCTCCAGGTCGCACCCCGGTTCAACACAAGTCCCTGAAGACCCCGCCTTCTCAGAACTCTGTGCCCTGGAGGCTCCGCCCCCTTAGCACCCCATGGCTCTTGAGGCTCCGCCCCCTTAGAACTCCACGGCTCTTGAGGCTTCGCCCCGTTGAAAGCCAATCTTTGGGAGGATCCGCCCCCTTCGAACTCCTTATCCTTGGAAGCCCCACCCCCTAAGAGCTCGGAGCTGGAGTTCTTAACTGTGAGGTCTGTAGAAGGGCGAAAGTGTGGGCGTTTGTGGCCTGTGCGTATTTCCAGGAAAAGACGCAAAAAAATCCGTAATTTAGCATTTTGTATTTATTCTTCTGTCTGACGGGAGGCAGGGCTCTCATCTCTCTCATATTCTATTTCTTCCAAATGGCTAGCCATGATCCCCAACAGCATTTATGGAAAAATCCATTCTTTTCCCTCTGCTTTGAAATGCCACCTCTACCATTTATTTCCACCCGTGTGGACGCGGGTCTGTTTCCGGATTCTCCGTTCTGTGCCTTTGCTCTGCGGATGGCTTTCCGACTCTCCTGCTCGTTGGGTACAGCCGCGGCACAGCGGGTTTGGCTGTTTGATAGCTTAAGGCTCCCCCTCACTGTGCCTCTGTTTTGAAAAGTTCCTATTTTCACATTTATAATTTTAGGCTAACTTTAGTATTATTGTGTCACATTCCAAAATGTGATACTAACACCTTAGTGTACTTGTTTGACAACACAGGTTACTTGAAGGCAGGGAATAGATGATGTCAAAGAAATGGAGACAAGTGGCTTAGACAAGATAGAAGTTTTTCTTACACCTAAAAGTCAGATGCAAGCAGCCTAGGACTGACAGGGCGGCTCCCCAGCAAAGGGACACTGAGGGCTGTCTAATCCCCTCACCTCTGATCCCCCTCCCCCCAAACCGAGAGAGCAGTTTTCAGCGTCGTAGAAGCCTAGATATAAATCCCATATAAATGCAGTCAGTAGGGCTCGCTTTGGGCTGCAAGTGCTTGATTAAAACGGACCAAGCAGGGGGCCAGCCCCGTGACGCAAGCAGTTAAGTGCGCGCGCGCTCCGCTTTGGTGGCCCGGAGTTCGAGTGTTCGGATCCCGGGCTCGCACAGACGCACCGCTTGGCAAGTCCCATATAAAGTGGAGGAAGATGGGCACGGATGTTAACCCAGGGCCAGTCTTCCAGTCTTCCTCAGCAAAAAAAAAAGAAAGAGGAAGATTGGCAGATGTTAGCACAGGGCTGGTCTTCCTCACAAAAGAAATAATAATAATAATAAAGTAAAATAAATAAATAAAATGGACCAAGCAGTTCAGCAAAACATTGAATTACTTCACCTCCCCAAGAGTGGGCAGAGTCGAGGCAGCATCTCTGTGAGGTCGTGAAGAATCCGGCTCTTTCCTCCCTTCTGCCCTGCCTTCTTCATCATGTCTACATTCGGTCCTTGAGGACCTTGTCACTTTCTGTCCTAAAAACGGCTGCTGCAGCTCCAGACAGCATATCCCTACACCAGTGCTCCAAACAGGGAGGGAGAGAGGGAGGAAGAGAGCTTTTCCTTGTAAGTCTCCCTCCTCCCCTTTTCTTTCAATCAAACGAGAAAAAGTTTCCCAGAAGCCCCTTAGAAAACCCCTGCTTGCATCTTATTGGCCTGAACTGGGTCACATGGCCATTTCTAGCTGCAAGGGAGGCTGGGAAAGTGACCATGGAGCTTCTCCAGCCTGCAGAAGGCTAGCAATGGAGAAGGGGGTTGAGGAGGGTGCTGGCTCAGTGGGCTGACAGTGACTGACCCCATGGAACCCAAGGGCCCCAGGCTGAGCCGGCAGTCAGGGATTCCAGTACTCTTATTTCACCTCTGCTCCTCTCTCCTCTCCCGCCTCCTCCACCTGGCAGTATATGGCCACCCCAAAGCTCCTGAATTTACTTTTTAAAAATTTCATCCAGTTGCCACTAGGAAATCTTTTCTCTCAGATCATAGATATGATCTTCCTAGAAACTGGGAGAAAGAAAGAGGAAGAAAGATTCTGGCCACAGGAAGTAGAGGGGTCATAGAGTAGGTGCTAAGAATGTGGCCTGTGGAGCAGGACCAACTTGGATTCAAACCCAGCCATACCAAGGAAATGATTTCGAGGCAGGGAGCTGCCAGCTGTACTTTCTCTCTGCCTGGTCACAGATTGCAGGGGGAGGGCAGCAGAGTCTGAGCTGTCATTTTGGGGTAGCTGGCCAATCTTGCTCCAATCAACAGTGGCCAGAAGGGCAGGGTGATGTCATTTAAACATGGTTGGTGAGGACACACCCCATTGCCATGTAGATGAGGGGATTCCCAGAAAGAGGGTGATGGCCACTGGCTCATAGGCCAGGCACACACCCCAAAGAGAGTTTCCTACACTCGTTCCTTTATCTTCCCACCTGGCTGTGAGACAGTGAGTCTTGGGATTAAGTTCTGACTCTGCCCCCTTGAGTTGATGATGTCTACATCAATTAAGCAAACAAGCTTTTGCATTGTGTTTAAGGTTGAAACTGCCAGAATCCCTTTCAAAATAACAATTCTCCTACTACAGAGTTTTAGTCAGGGTGTGTCATGTTAAGCCGAGATAACAAACAGCCCAACAATCTCAGCGGCTTAAAACCACACAGTTTCTTTCTCACTCATGCTACCTGCCATCCAGGGTTGGCAAGAGGGCTCTGCTCATCAGCCATTGAGAACCCGGGGCACTGGAGGTTCCATTGCAACACAGGCTTCCACAGATGCAGAGAAGGAGAAAAAGGGCATAACAAACCCCACGTGGGTTCTTACAGCTTCTGCCTGGGTGTGACGCGTGTCCCTTTCACTGCCATTTCAAATGGTCAGAGCAAGTGACATGGCCAGTCCCGAATTCAATGGGGGTGGGGATATATAATCCTGCTGTGGAGAGGGACTTCAAACATTTGTGAACAGTAGTATATCTAGCAGGCATAGGAAGAAGATGCAATAAATTTTTCATTTTAACTGTGTTCACAAATGGAGCTTTAAAAAAATGGGAAGGCAGTATATACCTTTAGAAAAAACTTCAGTATGCTTGTCACCAAATCTTTTACATCAACTCGTATAGTTCAAGCATCTTCATTCATTTTCACATTAACCATCTGTTATGGGTTGAATTGTGTCCCCCTCAAAATTCATATGTTGAAGTCCTGACCCCCAGTACTTCAGAATGTGATCTCATTTGGAACTAGAGTCGTTGCAGATGTAATCAGCTAAGATGAGATTATACTGGAGTAGGGTGGGCCCCTAATTCAATATGATTGGTGGCCGTACAAAAGGTTAACTTTGGACACAGACACACACACAGAGAAAACATGTGAACATGAAGGCAGAGATCGGGGTGATGCTGCTACAAACCAAGAAATGCTGAAAATTGTCAGCAAACCACCAGGAGCTGGGAGAGAGGCATGGGACCGAGTCTCACAACCCTCAGAAGGAACCAACCTTGCCGACACCTTGATCTCGACCCCTGGCCTCCAGAACCGTGAGACAATACATTTCTGTGGTTTAAGCCTCCTGCTTTGTGGTACTTGTAACAGCAGCCCTAACAAAGTACTATACCATCGTTTTGTAATTTATGTAACCTTTCGAATGATAGTTCAGACATTTGAAACGAGAGACAAATAGTCTTTAGTGTGCCTAATAAAAGTTGGCAATTATGAGGCTGGCCCGGTGGGGCAAGTGGTTAAGTGCGCGCTCCGCTGCGGTGGCCCGGGGTTCACCGGTTCGGATCCCAGGTGCGCACTGACGCATCGCTTGTCGAGCCATCCTATGGCAGCGTCCCATATACAGTGGAGGAAAATGGGCATGGATGTTAGCCCAGGGGCAGTCTTCCTCAGCAAAAAGAGGATGATTGGCAGATGTTAGCACAGGGCCGATCTTCCTCACACACACACACAAAAAGTTAGCAATTACATGTATTAGGTCTAGAATTCTCATCTTCTTCATGAAAAATGGCCAATGACTCCAATGGAGAAAATATGTTCACCTTGACACTTTTTATTATCTTGAGCTTCCAATTGCTTGGTGGCGATCATTGTACTTTCCAGAAGCTGTCCACAGTCCTTAAATGAGAAACTCATCTCTTTGATCTGATTTTCACCCCTGACTTAAGTGGGCTTGTATGCTTTTCTTTGTGATGTGTTTTTTGGACCACAAGCATTTTCCCCTGAGCCAAGTTAAGAGGGATGAACAGGCATATGAGCTGACTATTTGGTTTCCAATAACAGACACTTGCTGGAATTTGCTAAAATACAGGGGAGGGGTAACATTTATCATAAAGATATAAGGCCTTTCCCAGAATTAGGGGACTTGCGTGGGCCGCAGGAAAAGCTGGAACCAAGCTGACCAGCTCTGACCCTCAGTTTTCTCTCTCTCTGCCCACTGGCCTCTCCATGCCCGATTAATCGACCACTACACATTTACATGCTTCATTCCAGCCACACGCAGAAGTTGGCCTCTGTATTCATTTCCTATGGCTGCTGTAACAAATTACCACACCTTAGTGACTGAAGACGGCATGATGTATTATCTCACAGTTCTGGGGGCCAGAAGTCCAAACTGGGTCTCCCTGGGCTACGATCAAGGTGTCGGCAGGGCTGCCTTCCTAGTGGAGGCTCTTGGGGAGAATCTGTTTCCTTGTCTTTTCCAGTTTCCCACATTCCTTCCTCCATTTTCAAAGGCAGCAGTGTAGCATCTTCAGATCTCTCTCTGACTCTGATCTCCACTTCTGTCAGCATATCTTCTCAGACTCTCCTGCCTCCCTCTTTCATTTATCAAGACGCTTGTAATTACTTTGGACCCACTCCAATAGACCAAGATCATCGCCCCATCTCAAGACCCTCAATTTAGTCACACCTGCAAGTCCCTTTTGCCCTGGAAGATAACATATTCATAGGTCCAGGGATTAGGACATGGGCATCTTTTGAGGGGGTCATTATTCTGCCAACCATACCCCCTCTCTCTCCATCCTGATTTCAGATTCTGGCAAGAGAGCATGTGGTCTCCCTGGTCTGGGCCCTGTGTTTCCCTGGCCCAGTCAGGCTGGCCAAGGGCAGGTTGTACCGATCTTATGAGGAAGGACCTCGTTTCTCTCTCTTTTTTTTTTTTTTGTGAGGAAGATCGGCCCTGAGCTAACATCTGCCAATCCTCCTCTTTTTTTGCTGAGGAAGACTGACCCTGGATTAACATCCATGCCCATCTTCCTCTACTTTATATGGGACGCCGCCACAGCATGGCTTGCCAAGCGGTGCGTCGGTGTGCGCCTGGGATCTGAACCAGCGAACCCCGGGCCGCTGCAGCGGAGTGCGCGCACTTAACCGCTTTCGCCACTGGGCCGGCCCCGGACCTTGTCTCTTTTGATCTCTGATGTATCTCAATGCCTAGCAGGGCTGGCACCCAGGGTCTTTAATAAAGATTTCTGGACTGACTGAATGAAAAAATGTTGGGGGCCGCCTTGTGGCTACATGGATGTGGCAGCAGATAGACCCAAACTTCACTGTTTTCTAGTCCCAGCCCTCAACTTTCTTGTTCTCCTTGTTCTTACTCCCTTTGGGGGCCTCCTCTTCTCTCCCCCACTGCCCCCCCAACTTCCTGAACAAAGCAGATGGTGAAGGGGGAGGCAGTGAGGGCAGGACTTATCACCACCATCCTCCAACATCACTGATTCCAGGATTCAAGATCTGCCTCTTCTCTCTCTTTTTTTTAATTTATTTTTTTATTTCATTAAGGTCATAATGGTTTATAACTGTGTAATTTCAGGCATACATTATTATATATCAGTTTCTGTATAGACTGCATTGTACTCACCAATATTCTAGTTTTTATCCGTCACCATACATATGTGCCTCTTTACCCCTTTTGCCCACTCTCCCCACCCCCTTCTCCTCTGGTATCTACCAATCTGTTCTCCTTATCCATGTGTTTGTTTATCTTCAACATCTGAGTGAAATCATGCAGTGTTTGTCTTTCTCTGTCTGGCTTATTTTGCTTAACATAATACCCTCAAGGTCCATCCATGTTGTTGCAAATGGGACGATTTTGTCTTTTTTATGGCTGAGTAGTATTCCGTTGTATATATATACACCACTTCTTCTTTATCCATTCATCAGTTGATGGGCACTTAGGTTACTTCTATGTCTTGGCTATTGTAAATAATGCCGCAACGCACATAGGGAGGCATAGATCTCTTTGTATTGTTGATTTCAAGTTCTTTGGATAAATACCCAGTAGTAGGATAGCTGGGTCATATGTTATTTCTATTTTTAATTTTTTGAGGAATCTCCATATTGTTTTCCATAGTGTTTGCACCAGTTTGTGTTCCCACCAGCAGTGTAGGACGGTTCCCTTTGCTCCACATCCTCTCCAACACTTGCTATTTTTTTTTTTCTTTTTCTTTTTTTGAGGAAGATTAGTCCTAAGCTAACATCCGTTGCCAATCCTCCTCTTTTTGCTGAGGAAGACTGGCCCTGGGCTAACATCTGTGCCCATCTTCCTCCACTTTACATGGGACGCCGCCACAGCATGGCTTGACAAGTGGTGAGTCGGTGCGCGCCCGGGATCCGAACCTGCGAACCCCGGGCCGCCAAAGCAGGGTGCACACACTTAACCCCTGTGCCACCAGGCCTGCCCCAATGCTTCTTATTTCTCATCTTGGTGGTTACAGCCATTCTGACAGGCGTGAGGAGATATCTTGTTGTGGTTTTGATTTGCATTCCCTAATAATCAGTGACGTTGAGCATCTTTTCATGTGCCTGTTGCCCATCTGTCTATCTTCTTTGGAAAATGTCTGTTCATATCCTCTGCCCATTTTTTAACCGAGTTGTTTGTCTTTTTGCTTTTGAGTTGTATGAGTTCTTTATGTATTTTGGAAATTAACCCCTTGCCACATACATGATTTGCAAACATTTTTTCGCAGTTGGTGTGTTGTCTTTTCACTTTGTTCGTGGTTTCCTTTGCCTTGCAGAAACTTTTTAGTCTGATGTAGTCCCATTTGTTTATCTTTTCTTTTGTTTCCCTTGCCTGAGTAGATATGATATTCGAAAAGATGCTGCTAATACCTATGCCAAAGAGTGAACTGCCTATATTTTCTTCTAGGAGTCAAGACCTGCCTCTTCTCTTAATTTGCTGTGTGATTTGGGTATCTGTTAGGAGTGCATTTGGCTGCAGGTATCAGAAAACATGACCGTCTATGCAGAAATAGAAGTATAATGATGTACACCTAAAATTTATACGTCATAAACCAATGTTACCGCAATGAAAAAATAATTAATTAAAAATTAAAAAAAGAAAATATGACCAGAATTGGCTTCTTTGTCCCATAGAACAGGAAGCCCAGGAGAGGTAAGGCAGCTCAGCGATGCCACTGGGGACTGAGCAGTTTCCACATTTCAGCTCCACCGCCATTAGGGTGTAAGACGTGTTACCTCATGGTCCCAAGATAGCTGCTGTAACTCCAGATCTCACATCCCATTCTAGGCAGAAAGAAGGGAGAAGGATGAAGGAGCAAAGGAATTTTCTCCCAGTGTGGTTTTGCCCTTTCCTTTCCAACAAGGGACGACCTCCGCAAGGACTTAGCCCTACAGCTCACTGGGCAGAAGTGGTGGCATGCGCAGCTGGGTTACAGAGTAGTTTAGCTCCCTGGACTCTAGAAGAGTCAGGCTGGGGAGCAGGGCTTCAGCCTTCTTCCCTCTGCCTCCACCCCACCCTCTGCAGAGTGAGACACCAGTGCCCAACGTCATGGAGACCGCCTTCTACTTCGAACAGGCTGGTGTGGGCCTGAGCTCAGACGAGAGTTTCCGCATCTTCCTGGCCCTGAAGCAGCTGGTGGAGCAGCAGCCCATCCACACGTGCCGCTTCTGGGGCAAGATCCTGGGGCTCAGCAGCAGCTACCTGGTGGCCGAGGTGGAGTTCCGGGAGGGCGAGGAGGAGGCGGAGGAGGAGGAGGCGGAGGAGACGACGGAGAGCGGCGAGGCCGTGGAGGCGCACGGCGAGGAGGAGGGCGAGGAGGACGAAGAGAAGGTCCCCGACGTCATTCCCAAGCCCACGTGGAAGCCGCCGCCGGCCATCCCCAGGGAGGAGAGCCGTTCGGGCACCAACAAGTTCCTGTATTTCGTGTGCAACGAGCCCGGCCAGCCGTGGACGCGGCTGCCGCACGTCACGCCGACCCAGATCGTGCACGCCCGCAAGATCAAGAAGTTCCTCACCGGCCGCCTGGACGCGCCGGTCACCAGCTACCCGCCCTTCCCGGGCAACGAGGCCAACTACCTGCGGGCCCAGATCGCCCGCATCTCCGCCGCCACGCACATCAGCCCGCTCGGCTTCTACCAGTTTGGCGAGGAGGAGGGCGACGAGGAGGAGGAGGGCGGCGCGGGGCGCGACTCCTACGAGCAGAACCCCGAGTTTGAGGGCGTCCCGGTGCTCGAGCTGGTGGACTCCATGGCCAACTGGGTGCACCACAGGCAGCACATCCTGCCGCAGGTGAGGCCCGGGGGACCCCTGCCTCCCCACCTGTCGCGGAACCAGGTGGCTCAGCTGTGACTCCCCAACAGTGCTAGACATCGTGCTAAACAATATGCATCCATTCGTTCATTCAACAGCTATTGGTTGACAGCCCCCTGCCAGAAACCTGTGGGGCCAGATGCATCTTGGAATTCTGAATGTTTCCGATTTTATAGAGGTGACACGGGGCACATACCATATATATTACACGGCACCTTAAGCAGAGGCTGGGGCTGCAGCTCGCATTCAAAGGCTTCATTATTCCTGCAGCAAAACCGACTAGCCTCTCATTAGTTCAGGTCGAGGTTGCTGCCAAATGACTGATGAAAAAACTTAGTTTTCAAAGCGTTTCCGACTTGGAATTGTGGGTAAGAGATGTGGACCTGTATCAATCGAATGCCTAATGTGTCTGAACTTTATATGTATCCTCATATTCATTCAAGGAAACACCTGCTGGGGG